CCTACAGGCCCTGTGTCGTTTCAGCCTAAAAGCCTGAAAACAAGGGCCTACAGGCCCTGTGTTGTTTCAGCCCAAAAGCCTGAAAACGAGGGCCTACAGTCCCCGCGACGTTTCAGCCTAAAAGCCTGAAAACGAGGGCCTACAGGCCCTGTGTCGTTTCAGCCTAAAAGCCTGAAAACGAGGGCCATTTTCAGGTTCTCATAAAGTCGACCTTCCCTGAAACTTAGGCACCAGACCAGGGTTTTAGCACAGGCCATTTTTGGCCTCTTTTCAAGACAACCTTTGTTTGAACTTCAACGCCAGGGTGTGACACGTTTTGGCATTGGCAAGAGCAGCCTCCTGGACGGGCCAGGACTATATAAGACTTGCCCGCCGTACAGGCTGCAGGGAGTCACGAGGTAGTTCATAGGGACTTCCCAGGCACTTCACGTGCAGGAGGCAGGAGGCAGTCTTCAGGATTCGGCAGCAGTGCAGTAGTAGTAGTAGCGTTAGAAGTAGTCTTCAACGGTGGGCGCTATTAGGAGCTAGAGTAGCGTTGGAGAGAGAGAGATGGTTGGCAGAGGCCAGGGAGACTTACCTGTGGCGCCGTAGCTCCAGCTTCGTCTTTGATGTACCTGCAACAAGGCGCCCCCTTCACAGGTTAGTACCGGACTGAGAGAGAGAGAGAGAGAGTTCTTCTTCTTCCTCTTCCAAGTCCACCCATCTCTCCCTCACCCTCTCGCCACCCGACTTCTCAGTATGTGCGGACTACGAGACAGAGAGAGAGGTTGGTGACTTTGGGACGTGACGACATTTGGATCCAGACTCGACATTGGGATTGAGATACTGGACCAGGGATTATTTGGGACCTGTACCAAAGACTTGGTGTTGACGACATTCCCATATTTCCCCTCTTCTTCGTCTAACCCTCCTCTTCTTCGTCTGTGTATGGTTGGGGACTGGTGCATTCTTCCTGAGTGAGCGCCAGGCCCCTTCACACCATGGAATGATAGATGATGTATGTTTGGTCTGCATTGCAACATTGATTGTTTGGATCAGCCTTCCGCTGCGCTTATTGGTATATTAGCCCTCCGCTGCGCTATCTTGTACTGTGTGAGAGAGGTCGGTTCTTGTTCTGGTCTGCACCTTTACGGTATGCGACACTCGCCCTCTCTTGCTCATCCTCATCTTCTCCTCTCACGGTTCTACACCAACTGAAGACCACCGCTGAACCCCACTGACCTTTTGCAAGCCCAAGCCCGTCTATGGGGGCTGGGCTATGGCACTGCCTTCTTTCAGCGCCCTACTTACACCAACGCACGCATGCTTCCAGGCACAAACAATAGCACAGCAGCACACGAGCAATTGCTCCAGCAGCGCTGCCGCATGCACTCACAAATGCCTGAATGACTGAATGGCAGGCGGGCACTTTCCTATTTGGAAAAGTGCTTGCATGTGCAAGCTGCCTGGGCCTGGCGACCGTTCGCCCAGTAGCTTCACGTCGGGCCAAAGTGTCTGCGCCCAGGCCCATTCAGACAGTGGCTTGGGAGCGAATTGGTTAGCTGTGCCCAACCCCCCCAGGCGCAAACGTGCGGTGTTCCCTGCTTCCCATTGCTTAGCTGGAAGAGCCTAGAAGGCTCATGAATATTTCTGATTCTCATGAGCACAATGGATGTAACCAAGTGGCGCGTGGCAACTGTCTGGCGCCCACCGAATTCAGGCCTCATTGAGATTCAGGGGCCCACCTTCACTTAGGGCGGGCACATGCTAGCTCATAGGGGCCGTATGCAGGTATGCCGAGGGTTCAAATCGTCGCATCACTGTTGACTTGCATGATTACTAACGTGGGTGAAAGTGCTATGGCATAGGAGAGTACTAGGAGCTATAGTACTCCATTTGAGAACGTTCAGTAGACAGAAGTGCGCAGCTAGCTTTCTGGCACTCCGAAGGAGAATACACTTGCCCTGGAGGCTCACCTGAGAAATTGAGCTCAAACATCTGTGCAGTGAATGGGGAGGCAGGGAGCCTTGGCGCTAGTTAGCAAGAATCGGAATAAAAAACTCATGGTAGAGAGGTTGACCTTCCTGGAATCGCTTGTTAACAGGATAAACTGATACCTGTAAAGAACAATCACAACAGAAGTGACAGGAATGTAAAAATTTCAGAGCATGGACTCTCTCACAGCGCTACAAGACACCAATTTGTCGGCCCAGACTCCAGGCTCCCCATACGATTTTGCGATGCTACGCCGACCTCCTTCGACTACCCTCCGAGTAACGACTTCTGCAGGCTGTGAACTATACGGAATCGTATGGTGAATCCGGAGGGCGCCATCTGACATCCATACGGTTTCTGAAGGTGGATTTCGGATAGTAAGTGGAGCGGTGACTTACTATCTGAAATCGTACAGCAGATAGTAGTGGAGTGAGACCCATAGAAGAGTGATAGTGAAAGGTGGATATCAATGACAATGTAAAAATGCCGGAGCCTGGATGCCAAAGCTGAAATGCAAAATCCTGAAGGTAGGTATAGAAGAGCAATAGTGAAAGGTGGATATCGATGACAAATAGTAAATCAGGGGATCTATTGCGTATTTGAATGGATCTGAGTGTTGGCCAGGGTAACTGCTTATGGTAGCGACTTGGAAAACACTGAGAGAGCTTGCTGCCAGCACCCGTGCTGGAAAGGTAAGGCAGCGTATGGTAACTGCATGGCGAGCACTGCCGTAGGTAGGCAGTGCTGCGCAGTGACGTGGGTGGCGAGTGGTCAGTGTTGGTCAGGGAGGAGAGTGGTCGTGGGGTCTGTTGGATACTTTCCTGGTGTATGGCCAAGGAGTGTGTACATGATCAGACTCTTCAGTGGCATCTGGCAAGGGAATAGTGCTGCGCTTATGGTAACTGCATGGCGAGCACTGCCGTAGGTAGGCAGTGCTGCGCAGTGACGTGGGTGGCGAGTGGTCGGTGTTGGTCAGGGAGGAGAGTGGCAGTGGGGTCTGTTGGATACTTTCCTGGTGTATGGCCAAGGAGTGTGTATATGATCAGACTCTTCAGTGGCATCTGGCAAGGGAATAGTGGAGAGCGATCAGTGTTCAGTGTGTTAGAGGATGGGTGTGGACTGAATCAGCAATGGGGGAGGACTTTCATTGTCAAGAGAACAGTGTTCAGTGTGTTCTTGGATGGGTGTGCTCAAGGCCTTGTCATTCTGCTTTCAACTCAGCTTGTTTATGATTGGTCTGCTGTGAGCTTTTGCATCTCAGAGTACTCGTTTCTCATTTGCTGGTTCTTTGCATGAAAGGCCACATTCGGATTGAATCATTGAAGCAAAGAAATGCAGGCTGAGTGTGGACTGAACACCTGAAGACTGAATCAGCGATGGGGCGCTTACTGATTGATCGTGCTGTTTCATCTTTTTGTTGATCAGGCACGTAATTTATTTGTGGAGAATATGACGAGGGAGCAATTTTCTGCATGGAGTGTGGGCTCACTTCTTCCCCCACTTCTTCTTTCGAACAATGCTTCTGAACTTAACTGGCTGGCACAGGTATAACTTAGCATTAGTCGAAGGCTATGCCACCCTGCAGATTTATGCTTTCCTTCCCTTGTTTCACAACGAAGTGACAGTATGAAAACAATGTAGGCCTTGTGAAAACAATTCGTCGAATACTTCTTTGAATACCTTTTGCATTATCTGCATTGCTGATTGTGAATCTTCACACATCCACGCATTACGCACTCGTTCGCCACTTTGCTTTCAACTGAGAAAACAACGTTCGACTTGCATGTGTTAAGCATATCGCTAGCGTTCATTCTGAGCCAGGATCAAACTCTGTTTTTTTATTATGGCTTAATTTCTAGGGGTGACCAGCGGGCTTTATATGGGCTTCTGAATTTTGAACCTTGGCTTCTGCAGGCAAAGTCACACGGGATTTTGTATACATGCAGATTTTCTGATTTTCAAGATTTTGTATATTTCGGCAAATAGATGTAGCAATAAAACCACCACTACTTCGGAGCCTGTTTTCCTGATGCTAGTTCTGTCACATAAGTTTTATCGACGAAGGCATGCAATCGGAAAGCTTTTTTTTATCTTTTTCTTCCTAGGCTGTTTTCCCTGGCGCCCGGGCACYCAACTTCTGCCCGGGTACATGCCCGGGTGCCAGGCCGGGCATGACCCCCGGGCAGCCCCAGCGCCAAAAAAAAAAAAAAAAAAACCTCAAAAAATTCCTCACAGAATCGGAGATAAAAAAGAAAGTAACAGAATCACACAAAGGACCCCCCTTTAGACCCCTTTAGCCCCTTTAAAAACAATTTATACCCCCCTCCCCCCCCTTTGACAGCCAACTTGCAAAAAACGAAATGAGCCTGGATTTGGAGTCCTCTGGGAGAGCCCAGAAAACACGCCCGGGTATCAGACCCCGCCAGGCGTCACGCCCGGGTGCCCGGACGGGCAGGACCGGCCGGGCGTGAGAAGCTTCCAAAGTTTCATCGGAATTCTTCCTTCTCTTTTTTTTTTTTTTTTTTTTGGGCGTTTGCGGCCATTTTGTTTCGGTTGGGTGAGGCACACAAGACACGGTGCGTTAAAGGCTACGTTGGAACAAAATGGCTGGGAAAGGCACTGGTGGTTTAAAACATCTTTGTATCTAGCGTCTTTTTCTTTTTAAAATTTGAATGTGGGTGGCCCTGGATCTTATTATCTGCTACGTAGTTAGAAACATATGAACTTTTATAAAGTTTGTCAGCTGTGGGGTCCAACCCTGGCGGTGGTGGCCCTTTTCTCACCTTCCAATGGTTGCACGGGCGGTAGAGCTGGTGGTGGTGGCCCTTTTCTCACCGTCCAATGGTTGCACGGGCGGTAGAGATAAGGGACTATTATAAATGGCTTTCAAGCATCATTCTTGCCTCTGCCAACAGCGCTTGAATGAAGCTTCTGAGTGTTGCATGTGGAACCTCCAGGAGAGCTGGTAGTAGCCTGGTACAGAATATGATGTCCCCTTTGTTCTTTAAATGCAAAAAGCAGAAATAGGGTTTTATTTTGGTCTAATAAGGTTCCTAATGAGGGTGTTTACTGTGTGTAATAGGCTTCAGGGCTCCCTTTGCGTGAGCTTCTCAATCAGGCATTTGCATACGTTTTCGCAGCACTCCTTCCCATGCACTGCTCCGCAGTTGCCACAGATCAAGAGAGAGCCAGACAAGTGTTACAGGGAACACTGCTCGAGGCAGCACAACTCACAGAGGCACATAGGGATGAAATGATCAGGAAGAGAATGGTAAGTTGCTCAGTTCACTTCAGAATCATTTTGCTCACTTCATTCTGTTTTGAGTTTCACTGGCCAGCCTAATGAACCATGCGATTTCTGAGCAGATGCAGTGCTACCCTGGTTTAACTTCACCATGCTAGTAGTTCTTAAACAAGCCCTGGAGATGGTGGAAAGCAGTCTCCATATGAGAAATCCTGAATGCTATCTGACTCAATGGTACACACGAACAGCTATTGATCAACAGATAAAGGTTTCCAGGCGTGTGTGGTATTAGGGCTGACTCTCCTGTTTTTCAGGAAAATGATAGAGGCCGTGTTGGGAGCTAAGCGTTTTGTTTGTCACGTGCTCTGGTGGTCTATTTCCTTGTTTGTTTTTTTTTGTTTTTGATTTTTTTTAATAATGAAACAGGGTCCGGTTCCTATTCCACCGGCAAGTCAGGAAAATTAATTACATCATAGGACACCCTCACGCTTCCTTCCGTCTGGCCGAAGGAACCCTGATCAGCATTGATTGCTCCAACATCGTGGATGATTGACTGTCTGCTTGCCCTGCTTCCACCTTTCCTCCGAGGGCTACCAAAAGAAAGTGTCAAATAAAACATGAATAGCAAGAAAGGTCTGAGAAGCTGCACCTGCTACCAATTCTGTCTAAATCAGTGTTGGACCTGCCGACGGTTGGCGGCCCTTGACTGGTCGGCTGCCTACCCGCTGACCGATCGGCTGGTCGGCACCTAGTGGGGGGGAGGTCCAGAACACCTAATAACACCCCCAATACCCCCATACMCCCCCCCAACACCCCAAACCGCCCCCAACACCCTTTTACCCCCCCCCCAATACCCCCTATACCCGCTCAATACGCCAACCCCACCCCCCCCACCCCCCCCCCCCCCCCAATCCCCAAAGTTTCTCAGCAGATTTGGGCTGTACTCAGCAAGCGCAGTACAGCCCCCAACTCAGATTTGAAAAACAATCAGTGGATGGTTGTTTTCTGACTGGTCGGGCCTACTGGTCGGCTGCAATACGGCCTGCGGTCGGGATCGGCGGTCGGCAGGGGTGCAACCCTGGTCTAAACCCTAAACCCTAAACCCCGCATATGAGCCTCGTGAAATCCCTGGCAATCTAACCCCTGCTTGTCTTGTTTCTGTCCAAAGCTTCAACCCTAAACCCTAAACGCCAAACAAGATTAATCCTTTTCCATCTGTTCGCTGTGAAACATCGGCTGCCGCCTGTCGGGCATGAATCTTGGATGCTCTTCTAGGCCCAGATTGGAGTTGGTTCCTCGTGTACCTGGGTATTCTGCTGGAATACAAACTCGACAGAATTGTGCCACTCTTTCCGTCTTTAGAACGTGCCCATTTAGCCATGCCACTTTGTCACCTACCAACCAGATCTGCTTGAATTTGGCAAGTGTCACCTGTTCTGTCTCTGGGCTGTTCTGCACCCAGAGTTTAACCTTCCTCCAATGACAGAGGATTTCCGCTTCAATCATCTCTTTGGTTGCTGCCCACACTTTCTCCCGTGGGTTCTCGCGCCATCCAATGTTCTGCTGCATCTCTCATTCCATATGGCCCATTACTTGACCTTGCGTACCATCCCGAACCAGTTTTTTTCTGATTGGCTGAAGTTAGAGGGTAAATTAGTGCAGAGGAGCAGTTGAAGGGGGCGCTCCGGGAGGGGAGACGAGAATAGACTATCCCAGAGTGCTGCTGCTCTTGCCCAATACTCTGTGGCTTCTTTACAGTTAATTAGGCAATGTATCACATCTTCCTGTTCTTGATATGAGCAGACTGCACAGACATCAGAGCTGGTTGGATTGTTCTTTCGTCTTCTGACATGTAGCCATTGGTTAACCAGTAGAGCAATGTGTGTTATGAGCCACTGCAAGCTTCTGATTTTTATCGGTCTTATCGTTTTATATTTTCTTCCATGGGATTTTTGCTATCTAGTCTGCCTCTGAACCAATTAACTTGCTCCATCTTCCTGTGATTGTTGGTTCTGGGTCCTTTGTTCTTGACAGCATCTTGTAACCCAGCTTACCTGTATAATCATATATCGGAATTGGTGGTTTGGTCGTTCTATTTCGGTCGGGGGGGCGTGCCCATTCGGAGGGATCAAACTCGAGGTCTTGAATTGCTATCCCCATTTGAAATATCTGTTTTGGCCAGAGTCCTAATGTTCTTATTTTACGGAGTGTAAACGCATTCAGTACTACTCTTTCAGGATTGATATTCTGAATGTACAGTTCATCTGGCTTGGTCATCAGGATCGGGAAGGTTGTGAAGACGTCTCGTGGATCTGAACCTGATATTCTATGGGAAAACTGGTAGGCCCTTTCAGGAAAGGTGTCCTGGATTAGGTTCCCCCACTTCCTGGCTTCCCACTTAAAATCCTTGTTTAGTAGCTCAGCCCAGCCCCCTGGAATGCTCTGTATTATCTTTTGTAGACTTTCATCTCTGTGGTGGCAGCCTTTCGGTCGAGTTTTAAGCTCAATTTCGTCCAACCAGTTTCTTCCTTTCCTTGTTCCAGATGTTCCTTACTCGCCAGACACCGTGTTTGATCCATGACAGACACCTGTTGCCTCTGTGGGAGAGTGTCCAAGGGTGGTCACCCTCTTCTCTGATCCAGGGGTTTCCAAAGAGAGGCTGCCTGAGCACTTCCTCTTTGGACCTGGGTTTGTTTCATTTCTCGGGCATGATCTCTCTCCAGATGTGTATAAGGGCCGTCCAATAGGGGATATGTGTCTGGTTGTGAATTGGGGGAGAGGCAGTCCCACGTCTTCTCCTCCCTGAGCAGTCCGGACATGTTAGTGGGGGATTCCATTGGGCCCAGATTCCTGATGCTATCTTGTGCTAGTTTGTTCCACGGCAGTGATTGTCTAGTTAGTAGCTTGACGACCCACTTAATTTGCAGGGCTTTCGTTTCTTGTTTGGGGTCGATGATGCCTAGTCCCCCCTGTGTTGGTTTCTTTGTGATATAGTGCCATGTTCCCTGACCATAAGTAGGCTCTGGATTTCTTGTTTAGCTCTTTGATGGTCTGGTCTGGTATTGTCCAAATGGAGGCTATTGTTGCATACTGTAACGGTGCAGACCAGAACAAGAACCGACCTCTCTCACAAAGTACAAGATAGCGTAGCGGAAGACTTAGATACCAATGATCCGAACGATCAATATTACAATGCAGCCCCGAACATACATCATCATCATCATCACTCTGTGGTGTGAAGGGGTCTGGCGCTCACACGGGAAGAATGCGCCAGCCCCAACCATACACAAACGAAGAAGAGGGGGTTAGACGAAGAAGAGGGGAAGATGGGAATGCCGTCAACACCAAGTCTTCGACACAAGCCCAAATAGTCCCTCGTCAAAATGTTTGAATCCCAA